TTTTTTTTTTTTTTTGGTGTCAGAAATCTGATAGTCTTTGAAACATTCCTTACCGCCTTGCTCACTTTCATGAAATGTAAAGTTGCATAAAATGATTACCATGCTAATCTACTTGTTATTATTCAGCCTTTGTATTTCATTCTTAATTGAAAACTATTTCAAAGTGCTAGCGGGGTTTCTAAATGACAACTCTGGGAGACACGTCAGAGATCTTCAGATTCTATCCCAGAAGCTGAGATCAGAAAGATTAATCAGTTTGCCCAATTTCACTCAAGTGGCCAGGCATGACTGGAATGTATAAAAAAATGTTTTTTCTGGATTTTTCTATCTTCTAAGTAATTTACTAGTCTTTGACATTGAGTACCTGATAAACAATGCAGGATTTATAAATAAAAATATTTTAGTACAAAGATGGAAGAAACTGACTCTAAATCCAGACTAAAAATTTTGAGAGAAAAACAAGTGTAAGACTGGAAGGGTCAACAGGGTGAACAATCATGGACATGGAATTTCAGTTTCTAATAAAGATCATTACCCTACAACCTATGTTCTTAGAGCTTCCCTGACTCATCAAGACCTGCTGAAACATCTGATAAAGGCATTAACTGAACATAAATGGGGAACAAAGATGAATGATGTACTAGAATAAGGAAAAGTACTGCCTCATTTCTTAGAAAGCATGGACTATTAGGAAGTGTGTGAGGGAAAAGGAAAGTGACTATAAACACAATTTGAATGATTAAGGATTCAAAAGAAAAACCACAAAGCATAAAGAGCATTAAAATTTGAAAGGCATATTGAAAAAGAGACAGACAGATATTCTAGATACAAAAATATAGTCATGAAAATAAAAAGAGTTCCACAGATGTGTGAAACAGCAGATTAGATTTGGTTGAAAGAAGAACTATTGAACTGGAAGGTAAGTCTAAAGAAATCAGAGTATAGCACAGAGTTTGAAAGTCAGCAGATATAAAAACAGGAGGCATGAACAATAGCATGGAGCCGTGCAACAAATGGCTGTAGCAAGTGCTAACAACAAGATCAGAAACAGTAGAAAGCAGAAGAGGCTGAATTCCACAGCTGTAAAATCCCAGGATTACAAGAAACAGATCTTAAAAAGAAAATGAGTCTCAAGAACAACAACAA